CMMYTTWWTTWWTWAWTYYTTTTTTTTTAGATGTCAATAGACYTTTATTTTATTTATTTGTGGTGCTGAGAATCAAACCCAGTGCCTCACAAATGCTAGGCAAGCAGTCTACCACTGAGCTACATCCCTAATCCATCATTTATTAATTCTTGGTGGTATTTCTGAACTTTAAGAGTCCTACTGAGGAAGTTGTTGCCTCCTGTTACATGTTGAAGTGTTGACCGTACATTTTCTTCCACGTGTTGCCTAGTTTCTGGTCTAATTCCTAGTTCTTTTATCCATTTTTGAGTTGACTTTTGTGCAGGGTGAATGCTCCCTATTTTTCTGGGRTAAGCAAACATTGAATTAGGATAATAAGTGCTGCAGTGAAATGAATGACRATGTTTGACTAGGATATTTAACCTATTTCATTGAAAAATTGAGGGGGGATGGATCTCAAAGCCTGGAAAAATGACATTTAAGTTTACTAAGTATCTAATACTCCCCCTCAAAAAGTATCTAATTCTCCTAAAATAGGCATTATTATATATTAACAGATGAAGAGAATGAAGCACACAGAGTTTAAGTCCTGTGCCAAAGCCATATAGCTAATATGCAGTAGAACCAGCATTTAATCCGAGGTTCTCTGAAACTAGATGCATACTCTTATCTGAGCAGTGTGGAGAATTGGCAAGAGATAAGGCTGGAGAAGATTCAGTGTGATTCCATGCTAAAGGTTTAGTATAGTGCTGAGGAGGCTTCATACAGTTCAGGGCTGGGAGTATCTACAATATTTTATGGAATCTGTGAACAGAAGACAGCACATGGGTTAGAAAAGACTCAAAAAAATATTTAGACCTTAACCTCAAAGGCACAGATACAAGAACCTGGAAACAGTTTAATGAACTGTTTCATTCATGTTTCATTCATCCTTGTATACAGTGCCTAGTAGTGTTTTATTCATCTTGGTATAAATGGTATGTAGACTTCAATAAATATTCCAAAGAATGATAGCCTTCCTCTGGCTCTCCTGCTTAATTGCAACCACATCTCCATGAATATATTCTTATTCACATGTTATCAATGAAGAAATTGAGACCTGGAAAAAATTAATTAACCTGTCCAGGATCACCTAGATGGCAMATAATAGAACCAGATTTGAAATCATTGACTACAAAAGCCTGCTTTGTCATCTTTGCCAG